CCACCCCACCAACACCCACCCCACCAACATCCACCCCTCCACACCCACCCCACCAACATCCACCCCACCAACACCCACCACACCAACACCCACCCCACCAACACCCACCCCACCAACATCCACCCCTCCAACACCCACCCCACCAACACCCACCCCACCATCACCCACCACACCAACACCCATCCTCGGTATCATTAAACGTTTATAAACATGTATTCAACAAACACTAAAAAAGAACATAATCAATACACTAAAAACAAACTCATAACCAATACCCTAAACAAATACCCCCTAATCACTACATACACTCACAAACAAATACAAAACAAACACACAATACAAAAAAACAAACCCCGGCTCACACATAAACCCACAAACACAAGAAATTTACACAGAGACGAAGAAATCCAGGCGATAGAGACAGTGAATAAAACAGGAGCCTATGACAGGACGGCGACCCATTCTGATCAACAAACAGTTATGGAGAAGCAGTGGACGGGTGGCATGGCAAATTTGCAATTTATCTTGCAAAAACATCCAAAGAAAAGAAGGTTCGGTTTGAATCGAGAGGGTAAGGAACCATCTGGGCGGCCAGCAAGCCTGAGTACACTACAGGAACACTGAAAGGCGGGACCAAAGAGCCAGAGCTCAACTCCCGCAAGCACAACAAGCTGAGTACACACACACACACACATACACACATTTATACTGTTAATCTAGAAGTAAATAGGTACCTTCGGGAGTCAGTATATTGGCCAACAGACCATGAGAAAGGCGGGGCCCAAGAGCTAACAGCTCCATCCTGCAGGCATAAACAGTAAATTCCAGATATGATAGTACCTATTGCTACTATGGATGGTATGTACTAAATAGGTCTATTTTACCTAATAAAATCGTGTTTCATAATGTTAAAAATAATATTGTATTTTTAACAAATATAGAGGATCAGGTTGTTAGTAAACTCAATTATAAATGTACAGTCATTTATGGATAAAGTTTCTGATTTGATTTGGTTATTTAGAAGATATTTAATTAGTATTTGTATATTTTATAAAGTTTGGTCTGGCTCTCATCTCTCTCTCTCTCTCTCTCTCTCTCTCTCTCTCTCTCTCTCTCTCTCTCTCTCTCTCTCTCTCTCTCTCTCTCTCTCTCTCTCTCTCTCTCTCTCTC